TACACACTCCCACATCGCTTAGTATTTTGAAGATATTTTGCCATAAAAATACACAAACATACAGACTAGCTCAACCTTTTCCTCAATCTTGATCCTTCTTGTCCTGATCTAATACCATACTTGCAGATAACCCATCTGAAGGCAGGCTTGATTTCTACAGTCCTTTTCTTGTTTCAGTTTCTTCATGACGTATGATGAGTTTCTCATGAGGAAACACCACCACGTGATAAGTTCATGTAATTCACACTGCAGTGGGGCAAAATACACTGGAGCTTATATTTGCCTCAGTGTGTATCACTTCTGTAATTCCAATGAGTAGAAAAATTTATTTCCAAGAAATAACATACCTCTAGTCGGTAAAGGCACGTGAACATGAATAGCAAGGAGAAAAATAATAATGGTGATTTAAATCATAAAACTGTGTGTATGAAACATTTTTATGACCACCAGCAAGACACACAATATAATTATTGAGCCTATCAGGCTGTTATTTATGTCACATTCATTGCTTTTGTTGCAATAATCAGAAGTATTTTAGAACTATAGCATTCTTGAGAGTCTGTCATACGTACTGGCAAATGCAACAAGTACGAGAATGAGGCAGCAGCTCGCTGCTGTTACAACATAAAAGCTAGATGTTAAATAACTTACCATGAGGTCCCGTAATAGATGTGAAAATGATAAATATAGAGAGCATTAAGGTAAAAGGTATAAACACCATAAGAATAAAGCATTGAGCAGGAACATCAAAGTGAATTATGCCGTATATTTTCCTGCCTCCTATCTAATATCAAGTTACTTTCTTTTATTATATATAATAGGAATATTAAGCATTAAGATACAGTAGCACAAAAACAATGAGACACATGGGAAAAAATGAGGGATATAGCCCAGGAGATACTGTTGTTCTTATTCTTATTGTGTCAGTGTTATCATGGATTGAATCAGTCACCCTGTAGCTCACAATCAAAATAAGTTTCCCCACCAACAGCACAACCAGGATCTAGTTCCCAGCAGTACAAGCCAATAAGTCTTTTAGTGCCATAGAGCTGTAACCCAAAAGCACAATCAGGAATGTGTCAGCTGAAATGCCACCTTTGTAACGTTTCCAACAATAAGGAAAGTTTATCCATGATTCTGTTTGGTTGCATTTGGAGATAAGAAAGTAAACAGCCATATTCAAAGATTCTACTTAGTGGAGGCCAAGCTTTGCCTATTTTGTACCTGCTTGAACAGTTCATTCTTCCACAAGCACAGAGAACAACTTATTCTCCCATAAACTGGCAAGCATTTGTTGAAGGAAGGGATGCCATTCAGACAGACCTCGAGAGGTTAGAAAGGTGGGCCCGGGTGAACTTGATGAGGTTCAACATGGCAAAGTGCAGTTTTGCACTTGAGCCTGAGGAACCCCAGGCATCCATACACACTGGAAGGAGCGGTCCATGAGAGCAGCCCTGTGGAGAAGGACCTGGGGGTCTTGGTAGATGAAAAACTTAATATGAGACAGCAATGTGCCATTGCAGCTCGAAAGGCAAATGGTATCCTGGGCTCCATCAAAAGAGGGGTGGCCAGCAGGGACAGGGAGGTGATTGTTCCCCTCTACTCTGCTCTTGTGAGGCCCCATCTGGAGTACTGCGTCCAAGTGTGGAGCCCCCAGTACAAGAAAGACAGGGAGCTGTTGGAGAGGGTCCAGAGGAGAGCCACAAAGATGATCAGGGGACTGGAGCACCTCTCCTATGAGGACAGGCTGAGGGAGCTGGGCTTGTTCAGCCTGGAGAAAAGAAGGCTGCAGGGTGACCTCATTGCAGCATTTCAGTACCTAAAGGGAGCCTACAGTGGGGAGGGGAATCAACTCTTTGAAAGGGTTGATAAAACCATTTCCCCTCATCCTGCAGTTAAGTTGAGGGAGGGGAGATTTAGTTTGGACGTCAGGGGGAAATTCTTTACAGAGAGAGTGGTGAGGTGCTGGAACAGCTGCCCAGAGAGGTTGTGGATGCCCCGTCCCTGGAAGTGTTCGAGGCCAGATTGGATGGGGCCCTGGGCAGCCTGGTCTAGCATTAAATGGGGAGGTCGGTGGCTCTGCATGTGGCAGGGGGTTGGAGATTCATGATCCTTGAGGTCCATTCCAACCCTGGCCATTCTGTGATTCTGATTCTGTAATCTTAGACACTTCCCAAAATTATTCAAAGTTTGGTTTAGGCGTGTCATAACATCTACTAAGACCACATCATTATCTGCCTTAATGGTTTTCCAAATCCTTTGCACCCGGTCTTTTTCCAATCAAACGGGAAAAAAGAGAATAACAGGCAAGAATCCAGATCTCGCATTTTTGCCAATTCTTTCATCAGTTCTCACTAGAGAGCTGAGCAGGGATGCTGAGATTCAGAAACACTGAGAAACAATAATCAAGGAAAACATTCTTAAAATGCAGTACTCAATCTTATCTTTCTATTCACCTCATTAAGGAGAACAAATATCAGCCACCTTCAAAAAGAAAAAGGATGACGCATATTGGGGTTCATATTCCCTGATCCAATCATTGCTTAAATTTTTCCCAAGTCACATTTCTGAGCCACTGATTAATTCACATCACACAGTTTTCTACCTGGTTTAATGGTTGTCTACATGGAAATAGCGATGGAAGATAGATAGTTCTCACAGGAGAACAGAAGAGCTGTACAGATGATGCAATTATTAAGCCCATTTAATAATATCATGGGTCAGGATTTAGAGTGTTACAAAATTATCATCTGAGAATGAAATCAGAAGAATTGGGAAGAACTTCATAATTGCTTCACCAGTAATCTGGAACACAGTCACAAATCCACAACAAGCAAGGCTCTGAGAACTTCAAATCATATTTGACAGATGGGCTTAATTAGTTATTCTCCTACAAACTCATAATATTTGCTGTTAATATTCATTCTAAAACACCCTGCTGGCTGCGATAATATTTATGTTAATCCTGTTATGATAAGCTTTAGGTGCCAAAACCTCTCCACATAAAATGACTGATATATTGCAAACTTAGATAAAGAAACACTTGGGCATCCTGGTTAAGTTTGTCACTTGCACACGTGTCTCAATCTGTGAAACTACACCTGTCACTAGAAGTTAGCTTTATCAATACTATCTTCTGATCCGTGTAAAAATTATCAGAAACACTAAAGCATTGAATCCCTCGTTAATTAACATTGCCACCTTTGCATTCATGTGATCAGATCTCTCAGTTTTAGGAATTATTAAATAATATGCGAATAGAGCTTGTAGAATTTGTAAACGAACTACAGAGGCAAACAGTTTGGTAAAAAGGCATTAATATTTAACTGCTATCCACTTGTGCATATTTAGTGTCATCAAACATGTCATCAAACTGGGAAAAATTGTTTCCCATAAAACACTGAGCACGCTCTCTTTCCCAATGTAACGCTTGATCATCCTTCCTAAAATGAATAGTAAAGCAGGAATGACTAAACTTAATGAGAAAAGCATCATACTGAATTGCAAATATGTTTGATGATAGTTATTTGTTTACAAACAATAAATAAGCTCTTTTCAAAATGCAAAAGCACACAAAGCTCAATTGGTGAATTCACATGAAATAAGTTAAAACAAAAGTTAAATGAGTTGCATACATATCTATGATCTTGTCTGCTCTTGAATTTCCTTCCAAAATATACAACAGTTCACATATATTTTAATAAACATGAAGCCATGCTTATATTCAGCACATGAAAGTATAAGAAAGGGTCATTTCGAAAGCTTGCTCTTGGATGATGAATATTGAAGGGAAATAAGATGCCAAGCTTCAATTCACCCATGCTGTTGCATTATATTTTCCTGATGAAGAAGAGAAATTGGGCAAATGCATTCCATGGACCCAACAAGATAAAGCGTGATGGGAAACTCATTGTTGATATAATCTTTGGTTCTGATCCAATGCCCATTTCAGTCAGCGAAAATATTCACACTGTCTATACATAGTTTTGAATTGGGATTTTAAAGAATGCAACAGGTTGTGCTAGGCAATAGGAAGGTGTGATGTTGACACGCGTATACATCTCTTTAACCAATAACATTTAGGTCAGATGTGTGACAACAGATGATAAATCATAATTATTCTCCATTCTTTTTTATGATATGAGTTTTCCTACTTATTAGAGGATATTTATTTAAAAAAAAAATATAAAAAATCCATTATAAATCCCTCAAACCTGTAAGATTTTGTAAAACGTCAGAAGCAAATCACAGCAAAATTGGAATTCTCAAGTTGTATGGTAAATTTCCTAACAGCAATACCAAACACAATGCATATGCAGGCAGTCAGATCCTTGTAAACACACACTTGACATACATTTCCAGAAGCAATGGACAAGCAGCAGAAAACGATATAAAAATTGATTCACTAAAACATTCAGTTGTGACTAGAATAGGAACATCCACCTGCCAGATGGTGGTTGTTTGAGAGGTCAGGTTCCTAGCTAAGTGCTTGCACAATGGGAATGGAAAATGGAAAACTTGTATTCTTCTTCAGATTAAAAACTCATATAAATCTCACTGGAAAAAAAAATAAAATAGGCGTTTCATGCTATGAATAAGTTTTAGATTCCTCTGCAAACCTTTGGATTTAAAATAAGTAAATAAATTCCCAAACAACCCTATAATTACCCATGGTATAATGCCTGGAAGCAAATAATTCGAAAAGATTAAATAAGTCACAACCAAATACTGAGATATCAAACATATTCTTCTAAATACTATTTGAAAACAGTATTTCCTACTAGCTTTAAAACTTTCCTTGGGTATTAAGACTGAATAACAATTTCTGTTCAAAGTGCATGTGGCACAATTTACAATGCACTACAAAACAAAGACAGCCTCATCTTTTCCAAAAGCATTTTTATCATTCTCTATAATAAAATTTATTAAAACCATGGCACAATGCTTTGAAAAAGAAAAGCCATCCATTATTAAAAGGCAGAATGCTGGAAACGACCTACCTGTTTTCAGAGGCAGCAGACTTTCTCTGGCAAACAATAACAGCTGGTGCATATTTCCCCGTATAATCCACACTCTCTCTGATATCCCACAAGTATGGGCTGCTGGCTCTTACGCTGAAAACATTCACACCTTTCTTCACCTTTGCCCTAGGAGGAATAAGAGTGCAGTTCACCAGCTTGATCTGCTGCTTATTGCTTCATTTTCTCCTTACTGCCCCACAGAAAATGCTACAGCTCATCAGAGTTTGACAGGATTACAAGGAAAAAAGATGAGAGAAGTAATTAAGCTTTTCACATTTAAAAAGAAATAATACCAAGATAAAAATCTTATTGAGCTAATGGTATTTACAACTTTAGCTGTGTCTAAATCATGGTGTAGATATATTCTGCTTTTTTATTAACCAGACTGCGGACACCTGAGTGTGTTAACACTTCCTTTAGCTGTGAGTCTTTGTATAGAACAACATACCATTTGTGCCCTAAAATCAAGTCAGGTTGTCTGTAGGATTTATACCTGGAGTGAGGAGCTGAGAGCCAAGTCTCAGGGTATGAGCAAAATCCCCCAGCACCACTCTACATTACTTAATGAAGATTTTTAATTTTTTTCCCCAAATCCCATCATCTTTCTGAATCCACAAAATTTCTTCATTGTCCTCCAGTAGTATTGAGTTGAAATGTTGTATCAGTTCTGGTCCTAAAAACACTTACAATATTCTTATTTCTCCAAGAGAGAGCTGTTCCTTTGGAAGTCTATCTCCACTTACGACAAAATGCTACAGCCATGATGATTGGAATGAATTCTGGTTGGTGCACATTGATATAATTATTTTAATTTTGAATACTCAACAAAGAGGAGGAACCACATCCATATTTTAAAATATTTATTTCAGTTTTTCTTAGGCAATGTTGTAATCCTTAATTCTTTTTTCTCCCCTTCTTTAACCAAATATCTCAAGGCACTACTGAATTATTCCAGGATGTAATGTTGGCCAATTTGCTGAATTAGGAGTTTAAGTTATTGTTAACTTTTTATTTTCAGATGTGTTTACAAAACCACAAAGTCCATTGTGGTCAAACAGCCTCATATATGAGCTGTCAGGAAATGACAGTTTAATTGTATTTGCTTAAAATCTCATACACAAAATCCATTCAGTGTTACGGCAAATTCTCAGTTCCGGGGGAGAAAACAAAAAGGTATGTGATGTTTTTTGTATAAACTGCAGCTGCCATGCAGGGATGCTAATATCAGTCGAACAAACACTGTCATCTCTGCCTACTCATGAAGTCTTTGAAGGACAACATCACACAAATTTGCAGAATAAAAAGCCAAAGTATTTCTTCAACCACGTTGGGCAAAAAGTATTTCATTTCTTCTACCACTAATTCAATAGCAGTAGCTGTAATTTCTTTAGCATACATGGAAGAAGAACAATGTGATGACCTGCCAATTTGTGCTCAGGCTGTTTCGATGCTAATATTACAAAATATACTTTAAGCAGATGCAGTTCCTAGACCATGAATGTCTCTCAGGATGAGAGACTAATGGTCAAAAAGTGGGAATTGAACAGGATCCCTGGCGTCATAGAGAAAGCAAGGGAGATGGAAAAAGGCCAGATGATCTGGATGAAGCACATTTCAGCATACTGCTGTGGCTAGTGCCAGTGACCTGTATCTGGCCCCACCTTCCCCTTCCACTTCTAGAAAGAAAAACTGCTGGGTGTCAACCAAGATCTATGAGAGAGATACAATTCCCACTTCAAGGGAAATGGAGGTGGCTCAGATCCTTCCAAGCTTAGATGGCTGTGCTTAAGAAATACTTCTAGGTCTGTAACATGGTCCCTGTCCATACTCTAACTTGCCCTGCTGGCATACATGCAATAACTTTTCTCTAATTGAAAAGGCAATACAGGGTCTCAATCCAGCTAATTGATGACATTTCTCATTTTATTTTTTTTAAATACCAGAAGTGTACAGACACAGTAACTCATATCATCCTCTTATTTAGTGTCTGGATTCCTTCAAATGCCAGAGTGATGATGTAAACCAGCAGCAAAATGGACACAAAACCAGAAAGCCAAGCCAAGTCTGCCTGTACTTGCCACTCACATTATCCAGCGATTGCTGTCCAGAGCTGATTCCTAACATTTCAATTAGATATACATAGGTATACTCCCTTACAATAATTGCAGCCTATGGGTCAGCATTTCTTAGAAGAGCTTTTGATAAGGTCTATAATTTAGTCATACAATAAAACCCAAGCCTCTAATTTTATTGAAAACAATAACAGAACAAAATTGTTGTTTTCTACACAAATAGAGGTAACTTTTTTTGAAGAATTAGTTAAATATACCTCTATATTTAGGATTAAAGCTTCTGTTCCATGATCCCAGCAAACACATTTTCCTGTAGCTTGCCTTGATGCTGCGTTTGCTACTTGTAGGAGGAATTGCAGAGTTTTATTCACCCATTTTATGATGGCAATAGCACTGAGCAATTACCAAAGAATGACCTGGATGAAATAGGGTTAATAATAACTGAAGGTATGTTATTTGTCAATGGATAAAATTGAAGATACCTGAAATGAAAACACTAGGGCTGTTGTCAGGGCTCAGCTACTTTCTTGCAAATCTGCTTTACTGAATTGCTTGGCTGTCACAGGGCAAGCTGGATCTTCGACCTGTCACCTGCTCCTGAGAGTGCTTATGAGACAGCCTCTTGGTTCAGCCACAGTTCAGTCTGGCAAGATTTCCCAAGTGCCATACACATAAAAGGCTGATGACACAGGTTTTTCATGTATTTGCTCACAGTTAACTGTTAAGTACATCTCGTTGCACGTTTGCTTAAAATACCATGGCTGGGCAGCACAAAGTAAAGCTGTTGGATTATCTGTATCCACCACTTTACTTTGGGCCAGATTTCACACTGGCAAAGTGGAGGAAAGAAAAGGCTTACTAAACTTTTCATTATTTTTTTTTTCCCCCCCAAACAATGAGTTTATTCAGCTAAATATATTCATAGAAGCTTCTACAGCTTGTTATTTACCTCTGGAGCAGTGTTCTGAGCCTTGTAAGTAGCTCAGTCCTTACCCCAAATCAATCACAGCAAACAAAGCCCCTGGGAGCTCTCGATCCCTGAAAACCCGTCAATGCTGACAGGATACAAAGCAAGGGAAGGGAGAAAGAAAAGCGTAGAAGGAAGTCCCACAATCAATACATCACACCTGAAATCAAGCAAATACATTCCCTAAGTGCATAAAGATAGCAATTCCCAATTCTATCTCATGATCCTCAAACCACTGTTTACTCTAGTGATAAAAGAGGCTTCAACTCAGCCGATTTGAACGCAGGCATTGTCCTTTTCCATTCATCAAAGCATATTTTAGCTTCTCCCACTTTTTGCAGCTTACAACCAGTGAGCATTTAGCTTTCAGCCCATGTCATTACTGCAGGCTGATAATGGCTGTGAAATTGTTACTTAAGTGTTGTATAAAGTGGAACAGCTGGCTGGTGAAAAATAACAGCCTTACAGCACGTGTACTGCTAAGTGCCATGGGATACTGCCAACAAAGTGTCTGGTTTGAAATAGCACAGAGAAGGGAAAGAGAAAGCCAGAACACACAAATTCACCCTCTAGACATGTCAGAGATGAAAGGCAAGGAGCACACAGGAGCTGTGTGCCACAGGCACAGCTCCCCCTCCTCATTTCACTCCTGACCGTGTCCTGCATGCAGCACACAAACCCCACACACTGCTTCACTCCAAAACAAAGTGTGTGTAAACAGAGTGTAACCCCTAAGCAGATTTAAATAAAGGTGTTTTAGACCCATGACATTGAATCTAGCTTTTTATTCCTGCAAGCACTCAGGGCAAAGACCCGCGGGATCTCTTCACGCTCCTTCTGAGAAAGTGAGCTACTTTCCACGTTAAAGCAAAGGCAAAAAAGGCAAAAAAAAGAGAGAGAGACTGTTAACACTGGTACTACCCCTGGTTATCATCCTGTTACCAGTGGTGTCAGGAAGGTGGCAGATAAACTGTTTGCAGAAGGGTATATTTTCAAGAGCTCCCAGGCACCAAGCAGACATCGCTGCCACTTAGCATGCTCTAGATTTGACTCATCACCATAGCTGCTGAAAGCTCTTCAGAAATAACGTGAGGGAGTTTCTATTTATTTTCAGTGTTTTTTCCTGCCCAGAGCCTAATCTTGACCCAGCAATGACCACATGATGTCTGTATGCCAATATTTCATCTCCAGCAGCAATCTCCTCCCTTTCCAAGGTCTTAATTTTGCTAAGCCAGTTCTATTCTAATTGCAGATATGGGAAAATACATCTTACAACCCAGTCCTTTAGACTGCTGCCAATTATTCTGCCTTTAGTAGGATCATATATCAAGAGACTTCATACTAACCATCTGAAGACTGAGCTTTTCGTTTTAGATCAACCTTGACCCAGCTTATGAAAATGAGAATTCGGATGCCAGGATATAATGTACAGAGTGGCTTCTGCAAGGCTTTCTTGCACTTATTTTCCCCATTGACTACTTCACATACAAGCCGGTGCTGTCAGTTGTTTTCAGAAGATGCCTCAAAGTTTCTTCAGGTTACACTAATAGTTTCACTGATTGAAAATCCACAACAGAAGAGAATCGGGAGTCCCTGAGATACTGATGGAGTTAGAATAATTTATGGAGAGCGATCTAGCACAACATAAGCTATTTAAAGCTGTATAATACACCCACAAACTCTTATTAAGGTCTGTGGTTTTCAGCCCTGTGAGACAGAAACCAGTTATCATTATGCATCACCATGAAAGCAGATTAAAATTAAATCAATCTGTTTATCTGTGGGTTTGCAGTGCAGCTTTTCCAAAGTATAACATGTTCCCCATCTGATTAACATTTCAGGAGGAAAAACCATTCCACCCAGACACCAAACCACCTTCATTCAAATGGAGATATTACCAAAAAATATAGTCCAGGTGGATTTATTTCAATTAGTAGTAGGGCATAGTACATATTTATGATTCAAAAGCTGAATTTTGCATACCAGGAGTTAAGTAAAATAGATCTCCCTGTAATATGTATCTCTAGGACTTGAGAAAACCGCCCATGATGTTTGTGGCTTAAATGTATGCTGTCGTAGATATACGT